CATGCTATTAATTGGCTTATCTGCCTCCACTGAATATTTGTCTAACATTTGTTCTGCACTTTTAATTGTTTTAACTATCGACAATTCATCTAGGCCCGCCAAGAAAATTCCCACTTTTTCCATGAGATCCTTACCACATAGACTAGGATTATGTGAATCCACTACATAAAAATCCTGGACAATTTCTTTTCCATTATAACCTACTTTTGTCGACACCTTGCCATAGACCTTAATCGGTACATTATCATAAGCACTTAAAGATTTTTTACCTGGTTTTACATTCAATTGCAAGGTATCTGGATGTGTTCGCTGGGCCTCCTAGTTACTGAGTTTAAAAGTGCATTGATTAACACATTGAACAGAGTAGGACTGAGGACACCTCCCTGTGGAGTGCCAAGTTCAAAATCTCTCGTTACACTACTATGCCCTTGGAACAGTTCAGATGACTTCCTGTTGGATAGATAGCCTCTTATCCACCGTAGAAGCCATCCTCCAACATTCATTTTAGCAAGTTAGCTCAGAATGACGTGTGGGTTAGCAATGTCAAAGGCTGACTTAAGATCTAGGAAAGTGGTATATGACCTATCAGTATGCAGGGTGAGGAATGTGGTAATACAGTGATGTACACTCTTTCCATGCGTAAAGCCATATATCTGGAGAGACAACATGTTACTAATTCTGTAAAGGAGGCGGTTGAGAACCATCCTCTCAAGACACTTACAGAGACACCTAGTGAGGGACATTGGGCGAAAAGCACTCTGCTGGTTTGGTTTAGGAATGGGAATAATAAGACTGTTGGTCCATGACTTTGGAAGCTCCCCAGTTACATAGCTCATATTATACAATTCAAGCAAGGGATTCCCTGGAACTAGCAGAAGCATACGCAGTATGTCGTAAGTAACTCCATCCTCCCTGGGTGATGTAGCTTTGCCTTTATGTAGAGCAGAGTCAAGTTCGTATTCAGCAAAAAGCATGTCACAGTCATCCTCTTGATGAAGCATGAAGTCATGGAGCCTTGCTCTATCAGCATATTTATTATTTAATTTGCTCTGTGAGGGTAGAGGAAGACTGTCAAAGCTGGAAGTGGTGGCCCAAGCATCAACAAGCTCATTTGCTCTGGCACAGGAGCGGTGCTGAATCTCATCTCATCATCATTGATGCTATTTTGCATCATATTATACACATAGTTTGCTACATTATATCTTGCAATAAACTCAAATTATGCTAAAATGTACCGGTGGATTACATTGTACCCTTAAATTTACTTTAATGTACCTACTTTTTTCTGCCAAATTTCTTATACAATGTTTTTTTGTACTTTCTTGCAATGCGTTTTTTTTACCTTCTTGCGATATGTTTTTGTACCTTCTTACAATGTATTTTTGTACTTACAATGTACCTGTAAACATTTTGTTTAATTTTGCTAGAAATTACCTTCTAAAGATTATATGTTAGATTAAGGATCTTCCCGAAACGCTATATGCGTGCTAGTGGCTTTACAAGAATGTAAAACTTCAAGTCACTGTAGTCTCAAGTTCAAGTATGTTTATTGAGATAAGAAAGAAATATATCTCAAAGAGATATATTTCTCAATATAGATATATTTCTTAAATCTCAAAGAGAGATATATGACACAACTGTCGTCAACTTCAGAGAGGTGGTGGCACTGCTCTTTACTACCACCAAGAACTAACATGCTTAAAAGAAATTAGAACCAGAGACTGCTATGGGGAGTATATCTTCGCCAGCTTCAGAGTCAAGGGTGCCAAGTCTGTCCTGACTGTGGGTGCAGTTTATAGAATTCCTAACACTGATGTGCCCGAATTCAACTCAAACCTTAGAAATCTAATACTTGATAACAGACTGAACAAAAACCACCTAATTATCGCACGGGACTTTAATATTGACCTCTGCGAGCCTGAACACCCCACTGCTGTTAGCTTCCTCAACTGTTTGAATTCCTGCTTCCTCATACCCTTAACCACTAGACCTACTAGAATCACTGATAGCACTGCCACGACGCTCGATCACATCTGGACAAACATAACCTCTCCGCTTACTTCAGGTATAATCACCGATAGCACTACAGATCATTACCCCACATTTCTCTTAACTAACATTAGCAAACCACCTCTTGAGTCAAGAGTGATACGTTTTAGACTACACAATGAAACTGCTATAGACAATTTTATAACTGCTGCTGATAATGTCAACTGGGAGTCCGAGTTAGGTAACATAGTGGACATCAACCTAGCAGTGCAATCTTTTCTTCAAAAAACTCTTAGCCTTTATAATACCCACTGTCCTATGCTTACAAAACAAGTCACAACCAAAAGGCTTAACAATCCCTGGCTTACAAAGGGAATACTTAAATCTATTAATAAAAAACATGACCTTGAGAAGAAGTATAGGTTAGGAATTGTCTCCAAAGAATTCTCAAAGAATTACTCATTATTGCTGTCTAAGATAATTAGACGAGCCAAAACTAAATACGACGAAGATAAATTTACCCAAATAAAGAGCAACATTAAACAAACTTGGAGAACAATTTCTCAAATATTGGGATCAAAGAAGTCTTTAAATAACAAACCGACTCTCCTGTCTAATAACGATGGTCAGCTTTCAGCCTCTGATTCTGCTATTGAGTTCAATAGGTTCTTCTCTTCCATTGGTTCATCCCATGCAAATGATATTCCATCTTCCAGTACAGACATTAAGGACTATCTTACAGGTAACTATCCACAGTCTCTGTACCTAAAGCCTATTAATTCCACTGACGTCAATGAGATAATCCTTTCCCTTAAAACCAAGTCTGGTGCCCTTGAGGAGATACCAACTTTAATTTACAAAAAAGCCTCCAGATCTTTAGCCCCTGCTATTGCTTTGCTCTTCAACAAGTCACTTGAACTCCAAACCTTCCCAGATATTCTAAAAAAAGCGAGAGTAACGTCTGTCCACAAATGTGGTAATCTCACAGATGTTAACAACTACAGACCTATATCTATCCTGCCAAACTTGTCAAAAATTTTTGAAAAACTAATCTATAAGCAGCTTTACTCATATCTAACCAAACTCAATATACTTAGCCCTTGCCAATATGGCTTCAGACCCAAAAAAAGCACTAACGATGCACTTATTAGTATGCTTAACTCGATTCATACAGCTCTTGATAAAAATGAGTTCCCTGTTGGGTTGTTTGTGGACCTGCGTAAAGCTTTTGACACTGTCAACCACCAAAACCTTCTTCTTAAATTACATCATTATGGAGTCAGAGGACACTCCCTACAATACCTCAAATCCTACCTTACTGACAGGCTCCAATATGTTTCTGTGAATAATACAATTTCTCCCACCCTACCCATCAACATTGGTGTTCCCCAGGGCAACATGCATACTTGGCCCTCTCCTCTTTCTCATCTACATTAATAACCTTCCAAATGCCTCCCAACACCTCAAACCAATTCTATTTGCATGATGACACAACCTTCATTTACTCCAGTCCTGATCCCCTTGCTCTAAATGCCACAGTAAATACTGAGCTAAATAAAGTCCATCTGTGGCTAACTGCCAACAAACTCACCCTTAACATTGACAAAACCTTCTATATTCTGTTTGGCAATAAATCCTCTAATCAAATAAATCTCAAAATAAACAATACCCAAATTTGTAACAAATTAGATGGCAAATTCCTTGGCATTCTCATTGACCAGAAGCTTAATTTCCAGGGACACATTCTAAACATATCAAAAAAAGTTTCAAAAACTGTGGGCATTCTTTCTAAGATCAGATATTATGTACCACGCCCTGCCCTGGTGACTCTCTATTACTCCCTTATCTATCCATATCTCAACTATGGTATTTGTGCTTGGGGCTCTACTACCCAAAATCACTTACGTCCTCTAATTACTCAACACAAAGCTGCTATTAGGACAATATCCAATTCTGGCCCCAGACATCACTCGGTACCCCTACTTAAATCTCTGAATATGTTAGACATTAAGTCACTGCACATTCTCTCATGTGTATTATACATATATAAAACGCTAAACTATAATGCCAATCCTGATCTCAAAAGCTTCATAGAAGGTTGTATCAGAACCCATGAGCATCACACCAGAAATAAATACAGTTTTGATATTCCTAGAGTACGACTTAATCAAACTAGAAATGCTCTACAAATCAAGGGGCCCAGAATGTGGAATGACCTTCCCAACCATGTTAAAGACTGTACATCTCTCAACCAGTTTAAGTTAAAAGCGAAGCTATACCTAATAAATTCCCTGTAACCTACCTTACCCTTCTATTGTCAACCAATGTCTGTTTTTTTCTTTAAAGAGCGCTGTTTGTCGACATAATTGTATTTGTGCTGCTTTTTTATCTATGTTTTCATTTCTTGTTTTCATTCTACTCATTATGCTCAATTAGTATTAAGCTTGTCATTTAAGTTTATCATGCCCGAAACGCTTTGCGTAATAGTGGCTTTAGGCATTGTATGTACTAACTATACCTATAAGTCAAACAATCCTTGTAAATATTTATTGTATGTATGTACCTTACCTAAATAAAATTGTATTGTATTGTATTGTAGATAGAGTAGCTTAGGCTATTTCTACCCCCCCCCCTCTGTACTCTCAACTCCCACCGCCCACAAGATGGGTATGAGGTGCATAATAAATGAACTAAACTAAAACTAACTAAACTCTACTCTCATGAACCCAATGTACCTTCTTGTAAATAAATAAATAAATAAATAAATAAATAAATAAATAAATAAATAAATAAGATTAAGGACGAAACGCTATGCGTGTTAATGGTTTTGCAAGATTGTAAAAATACCAATCTTATGTAATCTCACATACACATTGTACTTTCTTGTAAATAAATACATGAATAAATAAATAAATAAATAAAAACATTAAAAATAAATAAATAAATAAATATTTAAATATATTTATATAGACTAAACTTAGGTTTAGGTTCGTTTCCTCTCGTCATTTAAACTTTGTTTACAAGGTACACTGGCCATACCTTCCGCTTCATCCGTCATGTCCGTGGCCTGAAGAGACTGTAAAATTTGTGGCCTGAGGAGATTGTAGGGTCTATGGCCTGAAGAGACTATAGGGACCCCATCCCTCCGCTATTTCCCGGTATTGGGCAGCTGGGGTGCATCCGATCCCACGATCGTCGTCGCCCCTAAATCAACACAACAACAAGGCACACTGGCGAACACCTAGAGGTCGCCGATTAACGTTTTGCCTTAAGGCACTAATATTCAACTCCCTGAATGGTTGCGACGTCTGTCTATAATCGCCACGGGGTAGTTGATAGATATTCTGGCGTTTTCCGGCTTGCACCTCTGGCGTTGAGCAGAGGTAGTGGGGTTCAGCGGCCTCTGGAAGCTCCTGTGTTCCCTCTGGACGTGGAGGGCGCCTGGTTCTCACTCTGCTGGGGTAGTTACCCCTGTGTGTGGTGCTGGTTATCGATGCCTGCACTGCCGAGGGTATTCGGGTGTCGCCAGGTGACCAGCGCCACTTGACAGTTTTCTTTTGCCGTCTGGTTTTTTCGTACCAGAATAAAAATTGATTTCATATGGTTCAGCAGGGTACATACGTCTAGTTTCGTCGTCGTCCTTAAATCAACAGCAACAACAACAGTGAAGTTCGTCTCCGATGCTTGTGGACAGTAAAAGACAAAAAATGGTAAGTGAACATTACTTGAAATCTGCCTCAAATGGTCATAAGTAGTAACGATTAATGTATAGACTTAAGTGTTTGAATAGAATGATTTAAGTGTTTCCATTATAGATTGCAACCCCTAACTCCTGGAACCTTATTTACTTCTACATGAACAGACCCATTAGGTGAAAGGAAACTTGTTCAACCATTTCTGGTCTGCCAGGAAACAGAACCCAGGATTGCTGATTATGAGTCAAGAATGAAGCCACCTGTGCTATGAAATTTTTGTTTGTTTGTCACCTATGTTATATTCGCCTAATTGTTCGTCCTTCCTGTTCTTCCGTATTCACCTAATTCTTCTTCCAGCCTCTCAACTGTCAATAAACTGTTGTACAGATTCCTGAGCTGATTGGCCTCTCGTATCTGCATTTGAAACTGTGTATTGAGTTTGTCTTCACCACATCACTACCTAATACATTCCATTGTTATCTACTAACACACAAAAAAAGTTCTTTCCATGGCTCATTTGGGCACTTAGTTTCTACTTGTGTCCCCTTGTGTGTGTACCATCTGTGTTAAATAAACTTTTTATCTAACTTATCAGTTTCTCGAGAATCTTTTGTGGTGATCATATCTCGCCAAACATTTCTTCCTTCCAGTGATGTGAGGTTTAATTCCCATAGTCTCGCCTCATAGCTCATACCCCTCAGCTCAGGTACTAGTTGAGTGGCATTCCTTGGAACTTTTTCCAATTTAGTCTTGTGCTTGACTATAGATACGGACTTCACACTGGAGCTGCATATTCCAGGATTGGCTTGACACATTTGGCATGCAATTTTCTATATGATTCCTTACACAAGGTTCTAAAAAGCAGTTATTATGTTGGCTAACCAAACATACGCAATTTTTGATATCCTCTTGATGTGGGCTTCAGGGGACAGGTCTGGCCCGATATCAACCCCAAGATCTTTCTCCTTCCATGCTTCTTAAAGGATTTCATCTCCCAAATGATACTGTGTATCTGACCTCCTGCTTCCTATACCCATCTTCATTACTTTACATTTGCTTGGGTTAAACTCTAATAGTCATTTGTTATTAAGTAATTAGACTATAGGGAACCATTTATAAATTCTATGTATCTTTGCACTTATTTGAAATATTGTTAAAAAGTATTAAGGTTTTGCCTCTTCATATATGAAAGTAGACTGAACCTCTTCCCATACTCTGGACACTGGTGGGGTTAAACTTCAGTATAATAATAATATACAGAGCACCACTTGGTTTCCGAACTTTAGTTATACGAAACTTCCAGTTTCCCGATTGGGGTTGGGGAGTCATGTTACACGAACAAAGCTCAGGTAGGAAGCAGTCTGCCAAGCGTCGCGCCGGCCCGTGGTGATGGATGGGAGATGGTCCAGTTTGCCGCCTTCTACCCTGTGATTTCAGATTCACGGCCTATTATTCCTATTATTTTGATTTGTCACGAGGCTGGAGAGTTCATTCTGTAATTTTGTTTTACATATTTGCACAATCAAGAAACATCTGTGCATCATGTCGGCTCCAAATGCACGCATTGCGTCGGTGATTGCTGACTGGTGGGTGGATGATGGAAGGCAGTATAAGAGAGAGGGGGAGAATTAGAGAGGGAGAATTAGTGAGAAATGGAGGGGGAGGTAGGCAGGAAGTAGTGAGGGGGTGATGGGAGAATTAGGGAGGGAGGGAGGGAAAGGCAGGCAGGCAGGCAGGCTAGCAGGCAGACTGGCTGGCAGGCAGACTGGCTGGCAGGCAGACTGGCTGGCAGGCAGACTGGCTGGCAGGCAGACTGGCTGGCAGGCAGACTGGCTGGCAGGCAGACTGGCTGGCAGGCAGACTGGCTGGCAGGCAGACTGGCTGGCAGGCAGACTGGCTGGCAGGCAGACTGGCTGGCAGGCAGACTGGCTGGCAGGCAGGCAGGCAGGCAGGCAGGCAGGCAGGCTGGCAGGCAGGCAGGCTAGCAGGCAGGCAGGCAGGCAGGCATGCTGGCTGGCTGCCTGACTGTCTTTCCCTCCCTAATTCTCCCATTCTCCCCCCTAGCATCTCTCCCTACCTTCCCCTCCCTCCCTCCCTTTCTCACTAATTCTCCCCCTCTCCCACTATTTCTCCTCTCACTAATTCTCCCACCCCCCTCTCTGTTGGTGGAGTGGTGAGGAAGGCAGTAAGGAAGGATTTGCTGACCAGGCGATGGTTGCCAAACTTATCGCACATATTGTATTACAAATTTTAATCTTAGTTGTAAAATATTTGTGCCAAAATGTTAATTTTCATATATTAATATACATTATTAATCATTAACATGTTATATGGTTTCCTATTTATTAATTAAACAAATATAGTTTTATTTATGAATTATGCACAGTTGGCATCTGTGAGCAGGCGCTGACAGACATGTCCGCCTCTACATAGCCTCCACCCCGTTAGTAGTTCCCGACCCCGTTAGTAGCTCCCCCTCCTCCATAGCCTGCTGTTCTCATGTTATGAGGAAGGCAGTGAGGGAGGGTTGGCAGGCATTGAGGGGGAGAGGCAATGAGGCATTGAGGGGGAGAGGCAGTGAGGCATTGAGGGGGAAAGGCAGTGAGGCATTGAGGGGGAGAGGCAGTGAGGCATTGAGGGGGAGAGGCAGTGAGGCATTGAGGGGGAGAGGCAGTGAGGCATTGAAGGGGAGAGGCAGTGAGGGGAAGAGGCAATGATGGGGAGAGGCAGTGAGGGAGAGATACAGTGAGAGATAGAAGCAGTGAGGGAGGAAAGGGTGGGGGTCAGTGAATGCAATTACACAATAAACTTTGCTATGAATCTGTCGATTTTTTCCCTTAGAATTTTTTGTCAAATTTAAAAAAAAAATGTCTCCATTTTCCTCCATTTCTCATTTATGAACTTGCACGATAACCGATGGGTCTCGTCCCCAAGGGGTTCGGAAACCGAGTGGTGCTCTGTAATGATACACACAGACCGGGTAATGATACACACAGACAATGATACGGCCGACCGGGGAGTTGGTCGGCCGAGCGGACAGCACGCTGGACTTGTGATCCTGTGGTCCTGGGTTCGATCCCAGGCGCTGGCGAGAAACAATGGGCAGAGTTTCTTTCACCCTATGCCCCTGTTACCTAGCAGTAAATAGGTACCTGGGTGTTAGTCAGCTGTCACGGGCTGCTTCCTGGGGGTGGAGGCCTGGTCGAGGACCGGGCCGCGGGGACACTAAATCCCCGAAATCATCTCAAGATAACCTCAAGATAACACAGAAAATCACACTAACATGATGTATATCAATGAGAAAATCTACTAAGGCTCTGAGGTGATGCTAATTCATGACCAAGACATTGCCAGCCTTATACTCTACCACCACTGACTTGAGAAACTCATAAAACTGGATTTCTAGTGAAATCACACAAAAAGTGGAGGGCCCCTTCTGAAGCCAGTACAAGTTTTAGGAATGACCCCCAAGCACTCTGGTGCAGGCAAAGTATTTTATTTACTTATTTATATACAAGAAGGTACATTGGGTTTATGAGAGTACATAGCATTGATATTTTACATTCTTGTAAAGCCACTAGGACGCATAGTGTTTCACGCATACAATAGTTCAATGCTGTATGCCCCTACTTCATACACACAGATATGTATGTGTGTATCTAAAGTTGGGGTGTATGGTGTTGAACTACTTTGCCTGCACCCGAGTGCTTGGGAGTCATGCATAAAACTTGGTCTGGCTCCAGGAGGGGCCTCCAGACTGTGTGTGATTTCAGTAGAAATCCAGTTGTATGGCTTTTTCAAGTCAGTGGTGGTACAATGCTAGAGTATGTGACTGGCAATGCCTTGGTCACAGGTTTGTCACCTCAGAGTCCCAGTGGATTGTTTTATATAATAACTGATAATATAATGTATAATATAGTAATAATGGAATAATTTATATACAGTATAAATAATATAATAATATAAGACGTAATGTAATAATAATATTATTAATATTGAGAAAATCCGTTAAAGCCGTGATGAGGATTTGAATTTAAGCTGCGGGTATTCCCGTTTACACGCCCCAGATAACCAGGCCATAACATTGTCAAAAGGATTGCAACCTGGAGTTCTACTGAAGACACAAGGGTTTCCCGAGGCTTCCACTGAAGGCAGACCAGGGTTTTTACCCTTCCTCACGCACTCTGAGTCTGTCATCTATATTCTACCTCTGATGCTCCTCTTTCAAACACGAGAATAATTACACTAATGTGATGTATAAATGAGAAAAACTAGATGTGATAAGGATTCAAACCCACGTGGTGGGTATTGCCACATACACGCCTCAGACAATGTCATCTATTGTCCAGACATGGTCAATGTTTTGACCATGTCATGGCCTGGTTGTTTAGGGCGCATGCATGGGAATATCCACTGCATAGGTTTAAATCCTCATCACAGCTCTTACGGATTTTCTCACTGATACATCACGTTAGTGTGATTACAGTACAACCTCGATTCAACGTACCCTGATTCAACGAATCTCCGGCTAGGTCGCACACTTTTCAGGCCAGATTTACTCACCTGGTTCGATGAACAATGGTTTGCCGAAGCGGGATATGTGCGGATTTGCTTACGATGTCGGCACAGAGTTCACAGACTGGTTGAAAACTTTCCCATTCCTTCACAGAACATAGACTTCACATAGACTCATATGGTGAACAACTCCAAGCAAGCCTAAGGGCTAACATAGAGTTAGGTAAGGATCTCCAACTGGAAACTTCACTGACAACTCACATAGAGGAGGTGAATAAAGAACTAGAAAAGTATAAAGAAGAAATAAAAGCGACATATGCTGAAGTTGTAAAAGAGAAAGAGACTATCAAAGAAGTGTGTTCGGAAGTCAAAACCAGAAATGACCAACAAGAAGCAGAAATTAGGCAAGCAATTAGGAAAGAACTGGTTACCAACAGTAAACTGGTACAGAACACTGCAGATAGAACTAAGTCCATAATCATTTTTGGATGTTTAGAGAA